TTGAGATCCTGAGCATTGGCCTGACCCCTCAGGGCAACATCCTGGGCCCAGTGCTGTTCAATGTGTTTATTAATTGTTTGGATGCCAGGACAGAAATCTTCTTGATCAAGTTAGCAGACGAAATGTAGCGGAAAAGATTGTAAGCATGGAGGACAGGAGCACAAGTCAGAAGGATCTCAAAATATTGGGTGACACCTGGATGGATAGCAGCACTGCAGAGAAGGATCTGGGAGTCTTGGTAGATCCTGGACTCAGTAGAATTCTGCAGTGTCATGCAGCTCAACAAAAAACAAATGTGGTTTTGGAATGCACCAATAGAAGCATTTGGTGCAAGACATAGGAGATAATAGTGCCTCTCTACTCAGCACTGATTTGGCCTTATCTAGGGTACTGTGTGCAGTTTTAGGCTCCACATTTTTAAAACAAGATGTGGAAAAGTTAGAGAAGGCCAGAGGCAGGCAGAAAAAGTGATAAAGAGTTCGAAAAACAAATCATACTAGGAAAGTTTGAAGGAAAAGGCATGTTCAGCTTTTGAAAAGGCGTATGGTAGGAACATTCAAACACCTACATGGCTATCATAAAGAAGAAGAAAAATACCTTTTCTCTTTTGTGGTGGAGAGTAGGATCTAGACGAATTGCTTAAAGTTGAAGCAGGTTTAGTTTGGATATAAGGAAAAACATCTTCATTGTTCTAATAATGAGGACGTGGAATAAAGTGACTAGAGAGGTTGTGGACTTTCAATCTTTAGAGGAGTTCAAGAAGATTGGGCAACCAATGTAGTCAAATTTGATTTAAAAGATTTAACTTTGATCAGTTATGGATATTTCCTATGCTTCTGGGCTTTGCCAGTTGCATCAAAGAACCAGGAGGGATTTTTTTTACTCTCTTGCTTTTACATATGTCACGGAGTTTGGGGGTTTTTTTAAGCCTTCCTCAGAGGCATTGGGTGTTGGCTACAGTCAAAGCTGGGGACTTGGACTGGGGTGTGCTAATGTTCCTGCAAGGACTTCAATCATGCAGTTGAGGGTGTTACTGCTCCCAAAATTCAGTCCAGGAAAGGATATTTAATGGTGACAAGCAGGTCTCAGCAGGGTGTTCACCCACAGCCCAGTGCTACCCCACCGCTAAAGTAATTAGTATAAAATGAACAAACTTGTTTGTTAAGTGAGAATGACAGGAATATATTATAATACTAACAAATAATAACAAAAATATTATATACAAGAAATATGTTACAATGGTGAGTGGAAACTTACAGACAGAGAGAGAGAGAACAAGAGACAGAGCACAGACCCTCAATCTGTGTGCTTGAAACTATGTTGGCAAGCACAACCCATGTGCTTGCAACAGTGAAGCTGTTTCAAGCAGCTTCACTGACACCAGCTCTCAGCTGCTGTGTTCACCATTAAGTCTATGAAGGCTTCCCACCTCTCTAGATTTCCCCCTTTCTGTGTACTCTTTCTCCTCTGTTAAGGGAAGGGTAATACTTTACCATTCACAGCGTGCTGGCCAACTGGTACCAGTACTGGTCTGCTGCTGGATTCCAAGTGGTCATTGGGAAGCCCTGCTCCACCCATATCACCAGGGATCCTGTTTTTTTTATTATAAAAAAATCTCCAATATTCAGATTTTAAAAAGTAACCCATTAAAATGAAACACCACTATCTATCTATCTATCTATCTATCTATCTTTTAGTGGTATTTCATTTTAATAACAGAAAAATGTGGATTTGGGGTTACTTTTTTAATCCAAAAATTGGGGATTTTTTTAAAATCAGAGAAAACCAGGATCCCTGATAATTAAGCTGCTCTAGTGTTCATTAATATTCAGAAACAAGATAGTGCAAACTAACATTTCATTGTGCTAGAAAAGACTTTAACTCTTGACCATTTAATATTAAAGAACCTATCATATATAATTTTATAAAGCAACACATATTTTTAATATCTTTTTAAATATATATATAACCATTTTGCTCTATCACTTCAGGAAGAAAGATCCTTAGATGATGTGAACTGTTATAGCTCTACTGATCTCTGTGAAACATTAGCAATATAGACTAACTGCATGTTCCTTCTGTACTTAACATGGGGATACTGCTAAACAAATTAGTTCTCACTTTTCAGACTAGCCTTCTAACTGTGACTACTGTATATGCTCTGGGAGATAGCTGTGATTTGGTTTTATTTGCATTATAACAATCAAAAATTTAGAAAAAACAGAATTCTTCCACTGCAATATATCTAAAAATGGTGATATTCTAGATAGGATCACGTTTGTGAAAAATTGCCTCGATTCAATTATATTAGACTTTCAATTCCTGCATAGCTCTTTAGAAGTAATGGTATTTCATTTCCGAGTGAAGAAATTTCTGTGTAATGTGTACAGTCTGTAGGTCAATTTGAAAGGTGTGTAAAATAGTTCAGGATTGTTCTGCATGGAAATCATTTTTCATCTTCATAACACCACTCAAAAATGGCCCCCTAAAGTGAATCAGCTCTGTGAAGAATTTTTAAGCAAGTTCAGCCCTGGTTGTATAAAACAAAAAAACCCAACCCAGTTATTTAAGACTATATGCCATAAAACATTGAGAGTAGGGACTGACTGGCTTTTAATGTGACTATCTACTTGTGTGACAATATTTAACCACTGGGCCCTTTTGCATAACCAGTGCTGAACTCTAGTAGTTTCAGGCATGTTTCATGTTAGGCTGAGAGCACGCTGCAAGGGATGAACCTTTATTCTGGTAAAATAAAGCAAGATGTATGAGGAGTCAAGGATTTCTGCTTTCCTACCACAGTTTTCTTCAGCTGGACAGTTTTTTCTGCAGTTTCTTTTTGATCATACTCAGGGAATATAATGCCTGTAGGGGTACAGTAAAACTAGACAAGACATGAAAAAGGTACAGTAGTTTCAAATAATGGAGTACTTTTATAGAAAAAAATGTATAACCCTATTGAGATAAACTGGATTTTTAAAAAGGAGGGGATTTTTATTTGACTAGTCAGAAGCTATAACTCATTCCTCATTAGAGCTGCAAGTGATTTTTTTGTAAATTGAACTCATTACTTTTAATGTAAGTTTTCAGTTTGACAGTGAAATAGTGTTCTTTTCAGCTAAATTGATTATAGTTTCATTAAGTTTTTAACCATACCAGGCCTAATCCAAAATCCACTGAAGTCAGTGAGAAGACTCCCACTGTTAATAATATGTTTTGGATTATGCCCTGATTGAATTGCCTAAAACCACATGGTGGGTAAAGCAACAAAATGAGGAAAATACATCTCCACTCACTGCCCTTTTCTGTCCTCTGTACTTATCTGGTTGCCATCATCATATATATCTTCACAACAGTCTGTGCAGGTAGGAAAGTGGCACTATGATCCCCATTTTATAGATGAGCCACTGAAGTAAAAAAAAAGCTAAAGTTAGGTCTGGGATTTTCAAAAAATCCTAAAGCAATCTGGCATCCAACCCTTGTTTAACTTTCAGCAAAACATGATTGAAACTCATTAGTTTTCTGATTATATAATTTTCAAAATAGCCAAGAAACAGATTGTGGTAGAGCTATGTTGTGGTAGAAACCAGGGGGAAAAAAATGAAAAAAGCAGCACACTAGGGGCCTATCTTAAACTTTAGATATACATATCTCTGAAAATCTGACCTTATATTACAAATAGACTTAGGTGCCTAATTGCTATCCAACACTTATTTTACATGCTTAAACTGAAGATCTAACGTTTGAAAAGTCTTGGCAGTGCTGAGAACTGACCAGATGGCAAATGCAATTAGCATCAAAGATAGGGGCAGCCTAGAGTAGTGAATGGGTTAGAAATTACTAGGAGAAACTGGCTGTTTTTAAGTCATTGGGGCCAGACTATATGCACCCTAGCATTCTGAAGGAATTGGCTGCAAATTTTTCATAAATTAGATATATTCTTTGAGAACTCAAAGAGGCTGTGCAAGGACAAATATAGTGGCCATCTTTCAGAAAGGCTGCAGTCAGACTGCAATGTCAGGGAAAATTATGAAATGGGTCATTAAGGAGAGTATTTCTAAGCAGCTGGAGGAAAACAAGATAAACAGAAATAGCCAGCATAGGTTCATCAAGATCAAGTCATAGCTGAACAACGTGTTAACTTGTAACTGATGGAAAAGGAAATCATGCTCTGTGGAAGGAAAGAGGGCAATGGATGTGAAATAACTTGACTTCAGAAATGATTTTAACATAATCTCCAACAACATTCTTATTAATAGCCTGAAGAAATATAGACTACACTACAGGTGCTCATGGTTTTGGCCCTGTGGGCCAGAAAAACAGTGCAGGTCAGATTGGCCCCACATGGGTCCCCCACAGCAGGGACCAGGCCCTGGGGCACCCTGCACCATACTTTGTGCCTGATCTAGTGAGCAGGCCACAGCATGCAGGACTCCTCACAGATCCATGGCACTGAGGTACATCTCACATGCCGGCTGGGGATTGAACATCCCAGGACTACACAACATAAGATATATGTACTGTGGTTGGATCATTATGCTTACTAGGTAGCGATCAATGTCTAGTTGGGAAGAGGTAGCAACTGGGATTCTCCTCGGTTGTCCTGAGTCTCATGGTCTTGTTTAATATCTTCATTTACAATTTGGAGAATGGACTTGAATGTACACTTACCAAAATTTGCATGTGATAGTCAGTTGGGTGGAGTTTCAGAAAATCTTTAGGGTAGGGTTAGGAGTCTGCATGATCTTGATAAACTAGAGAAATAGTCCAAAATAAATCAGATTAAATTCAACAAGGATAAGTGCAACGTGCTACACTTTGGAAAGAACAACCTCCTTAATAAATACAAATTGGGGAATGACTGGCTAAGGTGCAGAACTTCAGAAAAGAAGATAGGAAGTCACCATGGAACACAATCTGAATATAAGACAGTGTGCTTTTGCTGCAAAAAAAAAAAGACAAATGGTATACTGGGTTTTATTAATAAAAAAAGTGTCACATGCACATGCAAAGGAAGCGATTGTCCAGCTCTTTGGTATGACTCCTATGGACTCCTCACTTCAAGAAAGATGTGGACAAATTAGAAAGGCTCCATCAAAGAGTGATAAAAATTAGAAGAGGCCTGGGAAACATGACTTATAAGAGTAGGTTGAAAGAACTAGGATTATTTAGTTTGCAGAATAAGACTGAGATATAACAATTTTCAAATACTAAAGGGTAGTTATGTGGAGGACGGAGATAGACTAATCTCTGTAGCTGTAGTGGACAGGACAATGAGCAACAGCCTTAATTGTAGCAAGGAAATTTTAGGTTGGATATTAGGAACAGGTTGGATATTTTCTTACCATGAATGTGGCTAAGCATTGGAGCAAGCTATCCTAAGAAGTTAGAGAATCTCCATCCTTGTATGCTTTTAACCACAGGTTAGACAAACACTTGACTGGTATGATTTAGTCAGGGATGATCCCACCTTATTTAAGAGTTTGAATAGATGATGTTCTGAAGAGTCACTTATACATCTTTGTGATCCTAGTCTACACTCTAAAGCAAGTGAATCCCATGTATTTACTGCTTGATGGAGGAGGAGAGTGAAACACTTTTAAACAATAGTCTAGTGGTTAGGGGTTTTCTCCTGCCATCTGCTCATAGGATTTAAACATAAAAAGGTACCAATGAGGCAGCTTCGGAGTCGTTCCCAGCAGCTATGCTCAAGCATGCTGTGCACTGAAGTCCTGAGAGTAACCTCTGAGGGACACTCTGAAATGTCCCAACAGCAAGGGTCCAGGCACTGCTGGGGAAGAAGGAGAGGCAGGTTGTAGTTTGCAGGGAGGACAGGTGGGGGCTGCCTACTAGGACTGGGCAAAATAGCATTGTTTCATTTTCACATTTGTTTCACCATTTTGAAGGGACAGTATTTCATTTTGTCATGGGAATCACTGTCCCATTTCATTTTGTCAAAACTGTTTCGCTGTTTTGACGAGCTTCAACATTTCGCCCACAGGCTATAATGGGAAAACATGAAAATGCCTAAAACAGTACCATTTCTTGTCTCATTCAGCTGCAAATTGCCGGGACGGTAGCCCCTTATGAGGGCATGAAGCCTGCCATGTTTTAAGGAGATAGGTGCAGAGGTTTCTCAGAAATTGCACCTCAACTTCTTGAAAGCAAAATTTGCCGGCAGCAGCAGCCTTCTGTTATCCAGCATGCAGATCCAGGAGCTTGCACCCCAGGGAGGGCTGCAGGGTTGTGCTGGACTCCTCCCAAGGGTGCAGACCCCTGGATCTGCACCAGATGACAGGAGGCTGCCGCTGCCACCTGGGACTGGTGCTCCATGGAGCTCAGCCAGGCAGTGGGAGGCAGAGCACAGCTTCAGCTCTGCCTGCCTCCTGCTGCCGGGCTGCGCTCCGATCGGCTCCATCAGCCCCACAGAGCGCAGCCCAGCAGCGGGAGGAAAGAAGAACCAGCTCTGCGCTCCCCACCGGGCTGAGCTACATGGGGTGTGGAGCTGCTCAGAGCACAGTCCTAGCTCTCCCTTGCCTCCCACCACCGGGCTGCTTTGAAACTCCAAATGTTCTGAAACTTTTGAAACGTTTTGAGTGCCCTCATTTTGTTTCAAAGTTGTTTCGACGCTTTTGTTTCATTTTGATTTTGCTGTTTCAAGTTCAAAATGCATTGAAACAGCTTCAAAATGAAACACTCAGGGCAATTTGCACAGCCCAGCTGCCTACCACCCAACTGCCTGTACCCCTGATGCTGCTTTCCTGGCTGCAGCAGTAGGGAGAATGAACTTAGGACAGCCCTCCAAGATTCTATATATGGAAAAATTATAAAAAATATATATTTTCTGTACAAAAAATCTGTTTAGAGGGGAGATCATCTTAAATTTGGGTAAATATGGTACTTTAATTCCTAGCCATGGAAAAAGAGACTTGTAGATCAATTAACATTTGAACTTTTTGTTCTAAAACAAGTGTCAGTCATATCATCCTACCCTTCATCTGATATGTAGCTTCTTTAAAGTGTTCTTTAAAAAGAAACCCAACTCCAGCTTTTAATATTGTAATTAAAACATTGTTAATTCATATTTTGGACTGTGTTTCATAAGAGTATAATAACAGTAGAACAATACAAAAATGACACCAGAGTTATTAATTCAAAGATTATAGGTATGCATGCAAATATTTCCTTAATAAATGATATATTAAACATTACAGTAGACAATAGCATCCTCACTGAGATAGCTTCCAGGATGCTTATAGCTTAAATCATTGAACCAAAAAATGTTACTTCAGCTGGCATTAGCATTCTATAAGCAGACATGCACTACTGAAGCAATGTCCATTTTATCACAACTATCTATCCAGTTGCAATTTTATTATGCTGTTATAAATCATAAAATCCATTCATATAAACATTGTGTTAGTTTAATAATGTCCTAATAAAGCATGTCCTTTTTACAATCAATTATTATTTTATAACAACAACACTGTATACCTCAAAGACATTTTGGTACTCTTGGCTTTTCTTTGCCCCATGTGCCATTATTTTATCTTCATCATTCCTAGAGCCTAATTAGTCCTATAAGAAGCATTCTGTTGATTGACTTGCAGTGCTGTACAAGGTCTCATTGGGTCTCTGCTGCATTTAAAGGCATTCCTGTTTGGACTTCCTTCCAAGGTCAGGGCCTTCGTCTGTGTGCACAGGCTGTTCTTGATGCTAAGTGCATATAAAGTCATCTAAAATATTTGATAAAAGGTGAAATTAGATTAAAGTATGTGTTATAGGCTCTTTTATTATACTGAGGTTCAGAAGCTAGGAAATGAACCTTATGGAGAGTTCATTTGTGATCTTTTTTTTAATTCCACATTAATGGTTGTTGGCTTTTTCTTTTTTCATGGAATAAATTCCTTTTAGGAGCCATCAAAAGCTGGACACCCTGAAGGACTTTGAAGAGGAGAGGTAATTAAAGCAATTAATTACTACCATACAATGCTTTCACAGACTGTAATTTAAAGTGCTAATGCTCCCCCCTTTTAACATTTCAAAATGTAAAGGGAGATAAGCCTAGGTCTTATGTTGCTGCTTTCCACAAATTAATTTACATTTTATCCAAATAGAAAGATTGCCTCTTGACACAAGAGGACAAATCTATTCATCCTCCTCCCTCTTTCACTCCCTTTCTTCTGGGTATTTATTTCTACTTTTACTTTAATTAGTTATGCCAGCAGTTTTATTACGAATACCTACCAAACAGTCACACTGTGATAAATGCCATGGAATTATTACATTATTTATGTGGATACTGTATTTTAATTATAATAAAACCACATAACTATATATGTGAAAATTATACTAGTCTACATACCCAGTTGTACACAGGCCATTAGTTAAATCCTATTTCTTTTTTTTTTTCTTGAGCTGTTTTAGCATTAAAAAAAAAAAAAAACCCTTGAATTATGCTCCCAAAATGGCAGGTGAATGAGGCCCTGAATTTCCATTTGTGCATATCTGAATGCAGGATAGAGATTATAGCTCTGAAACATCCTGTGGGAACTATTATTATCAGTACTAAAAACAATAATCAGATTGCAAGTCACAGGATGCACATTAAAGCTTTCATTCTGATAAGACTTACACAGGTGCTTAGGAAGTGCCAGAGTTCAGTGGGAACATTCATGCGCATAAAGTTAAACATATATTGAATTTTTGCAGCATTAAGTGCTTACTAGAGAAACTGACATGGTAAAAAACACATTTAGGTCCAGATATCACTAAGAAAAAAGTGTATGAATCTAAATCTATATGTAAGCCCTATATTAGTTACCATCAGGGATCCTGGTTCTCTTTGATAAAAAAAAAAATTCCCAATTTTTGGGGTTAAAAAAAGTAACCCCAAATCCATATTTTTCTATGATTAAAATGAAACACCACTAATACATAGAGATATATGTAGTAGTGTTTCATTTTGATCATGGAAGAATGTGGATTTGGGGTTACTTTTGTTAACCCAAAAAATTGAGGATTTTTTTTTTTAATCAGAGGAAAACCAGGATCCCTGGTTACCAGTGGTCCTATTCAAGTCAATAGCAACACTTCCACTGATTTCAGTGAATGGAGATTTGGTCACTGGTTCTCAGAAGTGTTGAATTTATTCTCATATAGAAAAATGTGGCATTTCATTGTCAACATTATGTATGCAGGGAAATAATGCAATTAAATAAAAACAAATGGCATACAGTTTTCATGTTTTTGAAATCATAAGCAGCTAACATTTTCTATTAATAGATTTTTCTATACTGAAAAAATGTTTAGACCTAAATTATTTGACAGAACCCTTAAAATTTACCAAAAACTCTCTTTCAGTAGATATGTTTATATACATGTCATGCATTTAGGCAAGTGGTGCCCAACCTTCCAGTCCCTTGGGCCAGATGGACTAGTCCACAGGTAGGGTCAGTCTGCAGGGCTGATTTAGTGTGGGGTCAGCATGCAGGTTCAGTCTGAAAGTGCAAACCTGCATACCAACCTGACTTTGCATGTCCAACATGGTCAGGGAGTAACCCCATGCATTGGCCCAATCACAGACCAATCTAATGCATAGGGTCATGTCATCCAGCCCAGAGGGCTCCTCACAGATGTGGATAGACAGTGGTGGGGATTGACAGCAGTATTAATTGCCATGTGTAAGCACTGGGTCATGGGTGGTATAGCCTAGTGGTTAGGCTACTGGAGAAGGGAAGAAGCCAGGGGAAGAGTCCAAATCACAGGCCAAGTGAAGCATCAGGAATCAAAGACTAAGTTACCAGATCCAAGGGGGAAATCCAGAGGCAGAATCCAAAACACAGGCTGAGTTAGGATTCAGGAGTCAGAGACCAAATTACCATAAGTAGAGCCAAAAAGTGTGAGAGGTCATGAAACCAGAGAAAAAAGGCCCCAGGGAGACTGTTTTTAATTACAAAAGTATCCAATGGTTTCTTTGTTCTTCCTTTTTAAATTTTGTATGTTTTTCTTCACCCACCTCCAATCCCATCCTCTTTTATTCCCATTTCCTGATAACCCCTTCCCAGA